TTTAAAATGTGCTCTGGGTAAATCACAGGAAATATTCTTGTTAACAGAGAAATGTTTTTAAGTGATGGTCTCACTAGAGTCTCATTTTTTCCCTGCTTCTCTGTCCCTCCACTGCATTCCAAAGTTAGTAATGAGAGAAATGCGGAATATATCCTGACTGTTATTAAATTTTGTCTAAATTTTTTAGACAATAGAAAGTAAAAATCTATTAGGCATAATAACAGCAAAATGTTTAGTCAGTGATTAGACATATTGGCACCACTGAGCTTTCTAGATAAGGGTATCTGGAGTCTAGATGTGGCCCTGATCATACTTACATCTCTAAGTGATCTAGAGATCATGGAAACATGAGTCACTCCAACATGCTGCCTGAGTGTAGTGACCAGGATAACCACCACACCGATGGACTGAAGTAACCAAGCCATGTTGAAGTTGAAATCAGATGGAGAGGAAACTATTTCCTGCCACTTCTAAAAATATCTGCATCTGAGTTCAGATCAAGTCTGAACTTTTGGCCCCTAGTTCTGCACTCGACCTTTCTATGATAGCAGTCCTGTTCACAAAGGTACATTTGGATAAGAAACGTTGACTTTGGTGTGTAGCCAGCAGATAGCTCTGATTTCTATAAAAAGCGCTGAGCGACCTCTGCCCGGGAATAATAAAGGCAGTTCTCAGGAATGCACACCTTTCAAAATACAAAATACTTCCCGTAGGATGGCTGGGCCCTGCCCCTCAGGCTTCTGTTTGAGTGAGGTTGGACATTTCCTTTTCCATGATGAAACTCTAGGTGTGATGATTGGTCAGCTAAGGTCTCAGCCCACTAAACATTTCCCATAACCGTATATACATTGTATGTAAATCAGTGCTAGGTAATATTTAACAGAAATAGAGAGTTGCACTGTGGAGATACGGGTCCTTCCTTGTGAGCCAGAGCACTGGGGACATGAGAAAGGCACCCATGTGGTGAAACTCACCCTGGCTCTGTGGACTCTGTCAGTCTCACTCCTTGTTCTGTCCTTAGAAGGCCACGGGGAGGTCATATTCTGTGAGGTTTAAGTAGATGGAGCACTGGGGGCACTGCTGTACCTTCAAGAACACCTGCCACCCTGCAATAAATCAGGGCACTGAAGAACACCCAAAACCTGGTTTGCCTCCTCTGCCCTGTTCCCTGGGCACTAAGACTCTTCCTTGTGTGGGAATGAACGGTGCTGTAGGGAGTGTCTGTAGCTAGTATACTGTATTACCGTGTTCTATCAAGAAGAGGTTATGTACCCCAAAGACTAGGCAAGGGTGGAGGATGAGAAACCATGGAGCAGGTACCCTTGGGAATGCTCAAACATCAAGTGTGAGGGGGGAAAAGACACCAAAACTCAAGACAGTGACAGAGGGGTGGAGAGGGCTGGCCTCTAAGAAGCAGTGACTGTCGCCCAAGCCTCCAGCTAAACTGGAGTGATCCATGGCATGGCTTCGGGAAAACTTCCTCTCCCTCTCATCTACCCAGGGCTCCTCATAGGCCAAGCACAGCAGAAGTTGTCAGGTCCTAGGGATGAACAGAAGGAGAACGCTCAGCCAAGGAATGTGGAGTTGGGGTGGGGGGTGGGGCGTGGGGGTGGGGGTACAGGGTAGTTACTTTTCTCACTGCTCTGACAAAATACATGAAAAAAGAAGGGAGGGTTTATTCGGGCTATCTGAGTGTACAGACCATCACAGCAGGAAAGTCCGCCACTGCGGCAAAAGCATAGTCACGTGACCTCCACAGACAGAAAGTAGAGAGAGATGACATCTGGTGCTCAGTTCAGCTTCCCCTTGTTCAATGCAGGACCAGCCCAAGGGTGCGGTTCACACTCAGGACAGGTCTTCCCTCCTCCTCAGTTCAACCTCTCTGGAAATATCCTCTTAGCATGCCCAGGGATGTGTTGCCAAGTGACATAGATCTAACCAAGATGGAAGTTAAGATTAACCACCACATAGGTCAAGTTTCAGGTCAGGATCTGAACTCTGCTTGAAGATTGAGACAATCGACTCTTTGGAGACCTTTTTTAGTGAACACTGAATTGTCATTCAGGAGAGTACCATTCAAGACTGAAGAGTCTAGGATGGTTGTTGTTGGTTTTTGCTCTTTGGGGGGGCCTGCCACCTAGCTCCCAAATAAATTATACATGGAGGCTTATTCTTAATTATAAATGTCCAGCCTTAGCTTGGCTTGTTTCTTGCCAACTTTTCTTAACTTTAAATTATCCCATCTACCTTTTGCCTCTGGGCTTTTTCCTTTTCTTACTTCTATATATGTTACTTTCATACTTATTCCATGACTGGCTGGGTGGCTGGCCCTAGCGTCCTCATTTCCTTGTTCTCTTGCTCCTTCTCCTTCTCCCTCTTCCCAGATTTCTCCTCTATTTATTCTCCCTGCCTGGGAGCCCTGCCTATCCTTTCTCCTGCTTCTCTATGGGCTGTTCAGTTCTTTATTAGACCATCAGGTGTTTTAGACATGCACAGAAACACAGCTTCACAGAGTTAAACAAATGAAACATAAAAGAATGCAACACATCTTTACATCATTAAACAAATGCCCCACAGCATAAACAAATGTAACACACCTTAAAATAATATTCCACAATAGATGGTAGTGTCTCCAATTTACTAATACATTAAGCTGGGAGAGAAACCTTCACATAAACTTTTTTTTTACACGTCTGTGGGCATGTTTGTATCAGTCAGAGGAAACTTTGTAAGAGTCCGTTCTCCTAATGTGTAGATTCTGTAAATTGAACCCAAGCCTTCAGCCTTGGCATCAGTGCCCTTCCTGTCTGTGCCATCCATCTTGTTGACCCCTCATGAGCTCTTATAAGTAGCCTTACGAAGCAGGTGGCACTCTTTATCTTCATTTCAACTATCCAGTTATCCAGGCTTGCCCAGGACCCCAGATGCCAGCTGGCAGAACTGAGGTTCAATCTCAGGTCTGACCCCTTGGCTCTCTTTCTGTACATGGCACTTTGAAGTAACCCCTTCCATCAAAGAACTCTTAACTGGGAAAAACCCAGTTTGGTTATGGTGTGGAAGCCCTGGCTCCAGCTTCAACAGCAAGAATTAAGAACTGGAGTCCTAGGAGACCAGGATGGTGTGATTTCCTTCCTCAGATCAAGGACTAAAATATCATCAAACAGACTCTGAAGTGGGCAAAACACAAGACCATCTGGTGTGGTGCCTGGGGTCACGGCTGAGCTGGGCAAGTGGAAGGGGCCCCCAGCTCAGCTGACAGGAACAGGAAGGGATGTGCCTGTCAGGGAGGTGAGTGGGGGCTGATTTGGGGGGAGCCATATGATCTAGGTCAAGAAAAGAGTTCCTCCCACAGAACTCGGGTTTTGCTTATTGTGGGGTGGATCTGGGAGTTACATAGACTGACAGTACATGGTGGGAATCCTGAGGGGAAGAGTTGTGAATGGAGAGACTGAGGCAGGAGCAGCGGTGGACCAGTACCTGCCCAGCTTCTGCCTTTGGTTTCTGCTCTGGATAGCTAGCTGGTCTTCCTGGTTCTCAGGGCCAGAGAAATGATAATCTTTACATATGGATATCTGTCAGGCAACAGAACCACAGCTTACACGTGCTTCTCAAAGTGTGAAGTCTCCAGACTGCATCCACGTGACCATGGAGCTTGTTTGAAACCAGATTCTCCCTCAATCTTAATACAAGGCATAGTGACCAATGTGGGTTCTAGACGAGCTCTCTCCTAGAGTTCGCTCTGCTGCAGGACAGGGCGCAGGGGCCATAACTGGGGCTCAAGGATTACTTATAATCCTCCAGTGCAGCAGTTTTCAAAGCATGCAACCACTGGCGACTGGTTAGAAAATGCAGTCACGTGTGTCTGCCAGACCTACGGAGTCAGCAGCTCTGAGCAGCACAGCAGTCTGTTCTCACAAGCCCCCGGGAGAGTCTCAGGAACCGCTGGGGTTGTGACTCACCACTGCTGAGCCATTGACTCCTAACAGAGGCAGGAATGCCTCAGGAGCCCTAGCAGCAGAGAACTCTAAGATGAGACCAATGGGGGCTGGGAAACAGGAAGAGGGTGGGTTTCCCCCCTAAAAAGGGACACAATGGTGACAGGTAGTGATAAGTATGGAGCAATGTGTAGGTATAGAGAGCAGAGAAGATTTAGTGAAGACAAGAGACAAGGGTGTAGAACACCCCAAAATTCAGAGGAGGGAGGCAAAGGAGCAGAGGTCTCTACTTCTGAGGTCGTGGAGCTGAAGGGTGCTCCTCAGATCTTAGGTTTGGGTTCTCATGCTTTGTTTCGTTTTCGCTGACTTCTAACAATAGCCCGGCTCACTGTCCGTACTGTAAAACAGATAGGGATGTTAAGATGTGCAGCATGTTTCTTCCACTGAGAGACTCAGTCTAGAGGGGAGGCAAGAATATGTGTGAATGACCCATCATTACACCATACTGTGTGTCAACACCGATGCTAAAACTCGAGTGGAGAGGTATACATGAAAGGAGGCAGAGCACCCAGATGGCAGGGCTGCCATCTCCCATGCATGAACTGAGAGAGCATACAACCTATGCGGTGGGCAAACAGTTGGATATCACCGAGTCTTTGCACGGAGGAGGGCTGGAGGGAAGGCAGGGTTAGGAGCAGGAAGGAGTGGTTGAATCCTCACTCGGAATTAGGCACCCCAAAGCATGTACACCTCAGTGGTTTAACCCCCAGAGGACCCTGATGCCCTGGTGAGGTAGTGAAGAACACTGGAATGTCTGGATTTTATAAGAGGTAGCCTTTGAAGTGTTTGAGGAGGAAATGGTTTGGGCATGATTTTCTGAGCGCTGGTTCTCACTCCTGAACGCTCACAAGCATTGCCTGAGGAGATCAGTTCTCACTGCAGATGAAATGTGAAAGTCGAGGCTTGGGATCCCAAAGAACGCCAAAGCTAATTGTTATGAGAAGCCAGGGGAGCTGAGTCGGATGCGAATTTAACATTGGTGATTTGTTTTTTTTTTTTTTTTAGGGACATCCAAGTCACGGGTGAGTATCCTTTGTCCTTCTCCTGTGTCTCCATCATGGAAGTTATATAATGTTTTGTTCCTCAGTGGCCACAAATGTGCTTTATTCACTCGACACATGCTTTGCTTAGGGCATATGGGATGGTCCTGAGTTCTGTATAAGAAGCCCTCGCCTTAGGAAATCTTTATTTCCTGCTCATGCTAGTTAATTTATTTCATTGCAGTCTCTGTGTGGGAATGACTAACATAGGCTATAAAAATCACAAAATTCAAGATTCTGGGTCAGAATAGATAGAACTGAGAATTGATTATGTGTGCGGTGGATCTCTGTCCAGCCTCCAGTGCTGGTGTGTGAGCACGTCTGGACGTTATTTTCCTTTTTGTCAGAGCTGCTTTGGTTACCCCTTGAGCATCTTCTTCATCGTGGTCAATGAATTCTGTGAAAGATTCTCCTACTATGGGATGCGAGGTAAGTTTCGGGCTCACCTCGCCCTTCTGTAAGAGCATGTGTTCCCTTAGCCAGCCCTAACTCGGTTTCTCTCTTCCACCTGCCCCCGCGGAAAGCACTCCTGGTTCTGTACTTCAGAAACTTCATTGGCTGGGATGACGATCTGTCCACGGCCATCTACCACACATTCGCTGCCCTGTGCTACCTGACTCCAATTCTTGGAGCGCTGATCGCAGACTCCTGGCTGGGGAAGTTCAAGTGAGTGATCGGGACTTCCTCATCACACAATTTGTGAGCTTTGTGATTTGGGATGATAGGCTAGGCAGGAGGAAGACTCAAGGAAAGAAACTTATAGGACATATGCGGTCTTGTTTCTGCTTAATATCATATTCTTAACACAGCACTGGGAATCAAGAAGGTTGTAGATTTGTCATTGTTTACTTTTGGTTGTGCCCAGCTACAACCAAACAGTATCGTTTTGAAATAGTGGCAAAGACCCTGTCTATCACTGGTGAGACTTGGCGTTCAGAGCTGGGAAAACAGACTGCCTGATGCTCAAGCCTTGCTGCTGCAGGCTCATGTGGCTTGGTGGATGGGAAACCACTGTGAGCACTCACCTAACCAGAGGACATCTCGTGGGACTTTATAGAGAAGGAAGATGTTCTCCATAGGCAGGAGCAAGAACAGTCATTCTCTTTAAAGACGTGTGTCAAGTTGGTCTTGTCTTCTTACCAGGCACAAGACTAGAAACTCTTTTTGTAATTGTTTGAAAATTCCATAGATGTATGTAATGTTTTTTGATCAAGTTCATCCTGAATTCTTTCCATCCAATTCCTCTCTTACCCCACCACTTATTCCTTCCCGACGCCATGTTCAGTTGTTTTAACCCCTGAGTCCACTCAATGCTGCCAGGATTAGTAAGTCGTATTGTCCAAAGCTATAAATACTAATTTCTGTGGTAGCAGAGGTTGAAGTGGAGGGAAATTAGAGGTGGGGCTTCCTCTTCTGGGCTCTAACCAAAATTTCACTCTATGCCCCTATTCTCTCCCCTCCTGAGAGTTCATATTTTTACCCAGTTTTGAAAAAACGAGTGGATTCATGTCAGGACCCTTCAAAGTTTTGCAGGAAGAAAAATGAAAACGGACAGCTACTGTGCAATTAACTAGGACTTTCTTACCCTTTCTAAACACAGGACAATTATTTCATTATCCATCGTCTACACTATTGGACAGGCGGTCATCTCAGTGAGCTCAATTAATGACCTCACGGACCACAACCATGATGGCACTCCTGACATCCTTCCCGTGCATGTGTGAGTCCTTGGCCACTGCTGCCCCGTCCCTCTGATGCCCCGCCCCCTCACTGCTTGCTTGTCTGATACTCTGATGATTTACCTTGTTCCTTGAATGTCCCCAAGAAAACAGAGAGGTTTTGCCTCCCTAGTCAGTAATGCACAAAAGGCAGTTCAATGGACTGAGAGTTGAGTCCTCAGGATGCCACCACCCTAATGTCTGCTCACTTTGACGTGAGTTGAGACATCCCATTTCGTGTATGGTCATGGTGTATGGTCATGCTCATCTTGTCTTTCTTAGAAGGACATAGCTCCCATAGACCTTGGCCCTCAACACCACCAGCTTTCCTCACTATCCAAGACCTTTAGTTTCTCCCTGTAACCACATAGGTTATTTTTGAGTAGTTCCATAACAGATATTGTACTAGTCATCTGTTCTGAACTGTTGACAGCAAGGTTTATTCTTGTTGGAGTTAGTCTCCTTCCCTGCAATCTGGCTCGGTAGACTAATTACAAAGGTTGCTTGTTTGCTTTCTGTTTTTTAACACAGCATCAGCCTCCTGTTTGCTGCATTGTATGTGTGCATCACTATTCTCTTAGGGTTTCTATTGCTGATGAAACACCATGACCAAAGCAACTTGGGGAGGAAAGGGTTTATTCAGCTTACATTTCCACATCACTGTCATCACAGAAGGAAGTCAGGGGAGGAACTCAAACAAGGCAGGAACCTGGAGGCAGGATCTGATGCAGAAGCCATGGAGGGGTCCTACTTACAGCTTGCTCCCATGGCTCACTCAACCTGCTTTCATATATACTTCAGGACTACCTGCCCAGGAATAGCACCACCCACAGTGGACTGGGCCCTCCCCCATCAACCACTAATTGAGGAAATGCCCTTCAGGCTTGCCTACACCCGATCTTATAGAGGCATTGCCTCAATTGAGGCTCCCTCCTCCTTGATAACTCCAGCTTGTGTCAAGTTGACATAAAACTATGTAACACAGCTGACCGCTTGTGAACTTGACACAGAAACACATCACTGTTAAGCCACAACCTTCCCTTCCTTATTCATCTCCAAGATCACACATTCATATGAACATTACAATATAAAATATTCCAAAATTTCAAAGTTCCTCAGTCTTTAAAAATGTAAACTCTTAAAAGTTCAGTCTCTAGCCAGGTGTGGTAGTGCACACCTCTAATCTTAGCACTCAGCAGCAGAGGCGGGCAGAGCTCTGTGAGTTCGAGGCCAGCCTGGCCTACATAATGAGTTCCAGGACAGCCAGAGCTACATCATGAGATCTTGCCTCAAAAAAAAAAAGTTCAAAGTTTCTGTAAAATATCCAAACTTCCTTTTCAAGTGCAAAGTCTTTGTAGAACTCCAAAATCCTTTTCAAAGTTTGAAGACTGACTTGTTCTGGTTGCACTTTAGCTCCCTAGTGTGGGAGTAAGTCATCTCGTGGGTTGTAAAACGACTGAAATTTAAATTAGTAGCTCTAATGCCCACATCTCTGACTTTCCTGTTGAACACATTTGCACCCAGAGGACAGTCATCCGTGCCTGATGCTTGGGCCCAGAAAGAGCAGTGTTGTTGAGTGGGCAGCACAGACTACCAGCTCTGAGCCAGGCTCTCCCACGAAACAGCGAGGTCACCCTGGAGAAGCTGTCTTCTCCAGAACATGGAGAGATGGCTCAGTAGGTAACGTGTTTGCCATGCAAGCTTGAGAACCTGAGCTCAGATCCCCATACCCAAAAAAGTGGGCATGGCAGCATGCATCTGTAACCCCAACCCTGGGGGAGCAGAGACAGACAGACCCTGGGGGCTTACTGGCCAGCCAATATAGCCAAAATGAAGAACCCCAGATCAAAGAGAGACCTCATCCATCTAATTTTTAAATAGTTTAAGCAACATTGGCAGCCAAGAAGATATTTTTTTTTTTTACAAAACTTGAGGTTTATTGTGCCTCACTCCTAGCAAACTCTAAAATCATAAATGCTATGGGTTTTCCCTTTTCAGACAATTTTTAGGTCAGCATACAAAGTAATGAGCATTGTGATGGCATTTTCATACATATGCTATTATACTTTGTCTTATTTCTGCCTGCTGCCCCATGATTTTTTTTTAAATTCAGGAGGTAAAATGCTTACAGATAACCTGGAAAATAACAAAAATAAAATTAAAATAAATAGTCCTTAGTCCGACAACCTAGCCATAACAATATGTCATTAGTTCTGCTCTTTCCAGCCTCTCCACTGTAAGCAAACAGAGAAGCTCACAGTTCCTAGCCAGATGTTCTGCTTTGCAATTAAAAAATGTCGCCAATGTCATTAAATGATTATTATGACTCCATTTTGATTGACACAAGACTTAGGCTTGTTTGATTGGAATTTGCGTAGGCATGTGTGCTGAGAACTAAACTGTGTATACTAAGCTTTTACTCTACCACTGAGCTATGCCCTCAGCCCCTTAACTAATATTTCATGCACTCATTCTTTTATTAAAAATGATAAGGCTACCCGAAAGTCCATATATAAATCTTTGTTCAGATTTTAAGCTATTTTCAATTTCACGGGTGATAAATAATTAGACAAAGATGGTATCGTTTTCATTCAATGCTCACAGCCTGTGTTCTTGTGCGTTCCCTTCTCATTGAGGCTGAACCTCAATGTGATTGCTGCTGCACCTGGTCCTTGTAGGGAGACTATGGGGGAGGCTCCTTCCTCTGAGGACCTGCCACCTTGCCCTTAAACTGCTCCTTTCCCAGAGCACTGTCCATGATCGGCCTGGTCCTGATAGCCTTTGGAACAGGAGGAATCAAGCCCTGTGTGTCTGCATTTGGTGGCGATCAGTTTGAAGAGGGCCAGGTAAGAACGTGAACTCTTCAGGAGCCCCATTCATGACTGACAGTCCCCTAGTGACCACATGGCTGGAACGAGTCCGATCTCTGTTCCACTCTTTTCCAGAATACTTGAAAGTAAGATGCTAACCAAACTAAGTCAGAGATGAGCTCAGCTCCCAGCTCCATCATCTCCCATGATCCCCAGACAAATGTCATAATCTAACTTTGTTCTATGACAGGAAAAACAGAGAAACCGATTCTTTTCCATCTTTTATTTGGCCATCAATGCTGGAAGCCTGCTCTCCACGATTATCACTCCCATTCTTAGGGGTAAGAACCATCTAGAAAGAACTTGAGTTTTCTCTTTCTGATTATGAGAAAGTCAGTTTAAAAAGGCCAAGTCTTCCAGGTGTGGTGGCACACACTTTTAATCATAACACTGGGGAGGCAGAAGCAGGTGGATCCCTGTGAGTTGGAGGCTAATCTGGTCTATACAGGAAGTTCTGGCCCAGCCAGAGTGAGACCCTGTCTCAAAACAAAGGTTAAGTTCTTGTCTTGTTGGTTTTATTTTGTCCTTTTTTCCTCTAATGGCCAAGCTGTCACACATGCTGGGATATTTATCAAAATCTAAACTGTAAACTTTCTTCTACACTTTACTCCCTTCTAGTCTCTCTTGACTTCCTTATTGAGGATCACTGGAGACTCCAAGTCACCCCCTTCTCACACCACTGATTTTCTAATATTAGACATATTACATGGGGAAAGATATCGTCCACAGCAACGTTTGAGAAGACACAGAGCAGGCTGTAGTTGACTTTTGGCTCTTTGCTCTTCACTCCCCTGTGGTGGTGTTTCTGTGAGTTGGGAAGAACTTAATGGGCAAGGTTTGTCCTTTGGTTTCCAAAAGAAATACTCAGAAGTGTGAGAGGAGTGGTGGCTTATGCTTTTAATCCCAGCACTTGAAAAGTGGAAGCAGGAAGCTGCAAGTTCGAGGCTAACCTAGGCTCTACAGTGAGACCCTGCCTCACAGAACCAGGGCATGTAAAAAGAAATTCTCCAAACCAGAGACACCCCAGAGAGGAGTATCAATAACCCTCAGCACAACCTAGTCTCTTGTGTTTGTTCACACTGCACTGAGGGCTTGTGAAGTTTCCATGCAGAATGGAAGTTTTTCCATTATTTGGACAGACTAACAAAGCTGCAGCGTCTTCAGCTGAATCTGATTAAATTGTGAAATGGGGGACATGGTTTGAAGACGCCCAAAACTTAAGCCCCTTCCGAATTTGGTTTTTATTCATGAGTTATGTCCCCTTGCCTCCTCTCCCACTTCCTGGTTCTTTGGAAGAATGTACAGTGTACATTTGAATTATAGAATGTGTCGACAGTGTAACTTCTTAAAGTGAGACCATGACTGCACACACATAATAAACTGAACATGTGACAAGGTTCCTATCACTCCATTAGTGAAGATCTGGGGAACCACAACCCCTCAGACAAGGATTTGATTGACATTCCTTGAGGAACAGGGTCTTCTGTGTTGTCAGGAATGGGATCAGGTGTACAGTCATGAGCAGGAACGTTTACCCAACCACCGCTTCCCACTACAGGATTTTGAAACATATACTTTAAGACCAGAATTCCTGTTGGATCCAGTCCTTCCAGAAGGCTCCAACATCCCACTGAAAGTGTTTGTGGGGATCTGCTGTTGCCTTTACAAAGCCTTAATGCTTTTCCTTACCAGTCTGAGGGTCTCCGATCTCTGCCAGAGGTGGCAAATTACGGGTCACATCCAGGAACCTGAATACAGCCGTCATTTAGCTCTGACTGCGTCCCCTGTGGAGGTAGAGTTGAGGAGTTGTGACCAAAGCTAAGTGGATCCTAAAGCCCCAAACAGTCACTGTCTGGTCCCTCCCAGCTCATAGCTGCCATACTGACAGGACACCCGCAATACTGAATGGTAGTGCATTTGCCTTAATTCACTGAGTCCCACATATTCGAGTTAGAACGTCCAGGCCACATTTATCTCCACTAGTTATAAAATTCACAGACAAGGGGCCGGTGAGGTAGCTAAGCAGGTAAAGGTGCTGGCTGTGAGTCTTGACAACCTGAGTTTGATTCCTAGACCCACACAGTGGAAGAAGAGAATGGAATCCTGCAAGTTGTCTTTTGACCTCTAGATACACTCCATTACACACACACACACACAAAGAGAGAGACAGAGACAGACAGAGGGAGACAGAGACACACAGAGAGACAGACAGACAGAATAAATGAATGAATAGCAAAATTTAAAAATGAAATCCATAGCACAAGCTGTGGAGACAGTTTGTTCAGCTGGCAATGACATCATTGAGGCCAACAGCTAAGTCCAGAACATTAGCAAAAACAACATGGTGTCATCAGGGAGGGATTTTAGAAATGGGAACAACATATGCATTAGGAAAAAACTTGATGCCTTTTAATTGTTATTTCTCCTCAGTTCAACAATGTGGAATCCACAGTCAACAAGCTTGTTACCCCACTGGCCTTTGGGGTTCCGGCGGCTCTCATGGCTGTTTCCCTAAGTGAGTAGAAATCAGTTGAACTGGCACAAGTCCATGCCCAGGGCAGGATCCATATTATCATGGCTAAATTTTTAAGTCTGTGTGCCAAGTTATAACGAAATGTATTGTGAAGACCTGCATTGGATGTTTGGCATGTTCTCCCTCTAGGAGAGGAAGAAGTGGAGTGGCCATATTCTGAGGGAAATAGGGTCCTAAAAGGGCTTAGGAGGAGAGGCACCAGCTGATCTGGACATTAGATTTGAGGCCATCTAAGCAGATGAGGGGAGGTGATGGAGTCTGCTAGCTTGGTTAGCTCAGGATTGAAAGTGTCTATTGTTGCCAATGTGAGTCAGCTACAGCTTGAGTAAAGAAGTCTGGTTCAACGGCCATTGAATTCTTCTGCTAGGGTCTAAGTTCCCATTACACATTATCCCAAAGGTTTCTACTAGACCCCTTTCCTGCTAGAAGGAATGTATGTTCATAGCAGTTATATTTATTTGCACATGTGTGTTTTATACTAGTGGCTGTATTTCTTTTTTAGATTACTTTTAGCTAGTATGCAGAATGGCAAGTTTCATTATGACATTTTCATACATAGCTATCATTGCATCTTCGTATCTTTTTCATGTTCACATCCCCATTACCTATCCCAGTCCTTCCTCATCCTTCTTGCTGCTCCCTGGGTGGATGGATGGATGGATGGATGGATGGATGGATGGATGGATAGATAGATAGATAGATAGATAGATAGATAGATAGATAGATAGATAGACAGACAGATAGACAGGTAGGTAGATAGGTAGAGACAGGTAGATAGACAGACAGGTAGATGATAGGTAGACAGGTAGATAGGTAGACAGATAGAATCTAGATTCTGCATATGTGCATTAGTTTTGAGCAGTTTTTTTTCTTAAGAAATACAAAGAGGAAACTTGGGATGTTCTGAGTTGAAAGTTAGTATGAGAACAACCTGCCAGTGGTCCCCTCAAGCTCCCACGGCTTCTTCGCCTCTCTCCGGGCTTTGTTTTCAGGTCTTACTGGTATCAAATAGAACCTTTTTTTCCACCTCTTTTTCTCATATTGAAATAGTTTTACTGTGTTTTTTCCATTGTGTAAGCACTGTCCTTGCCCCTTTTCAACATCTCTTTTCTCCCATAATTCTTCAAAGACGGCCGTCGTCTTCTAAAGGACTAATGCATGCTTCTCTCCATGCTGAGTAGAAAAAGGCACTAAGTAAATTCTCACTTAGTCTGTATAAGTCATTCTTAAGAAGAAGATTCTATGTCTTCGTATGAAAGAATTAAGACCACAGGCATCTACAGCTCTTTTAGGAAGTTCTGGGCTTGAGTTAGGCTTCAGTTTGTCAAAAAGTTGAAAGGTTAAAATGGTGACTGGTAAAGGGAAATGCTGCCTCAGCCTGCTGGGAAACTTCATCACCCGTGTTTGTAAGGGCATTGGGCATGAGCATGAGTCAGTATCAGTCAGCTGGCCATGCAGGACATCTACGGAACAGTCATGAACCTGGTGAGACCCAAGGGCCAGTGGCTGTCAACGCCTCAGGCCTTAACAAGGAGAAGCGAGTGATCGATTAGTGCTCTTCAGTCATCAAGTTGTAGCACTGGGCGATCTGGAAGCCTAGTGTAGGATCTCCTGCAGAAATGCTGTGTGGGGGCCATTTTCACAAGATGCCTGTAGTTCACAAGCTCCACAAAAGAGTAATAGCCTCATTGAAAAGGTTCTCTCATTTTTATCAAAGCAGCTGCAGAGGCAATTAATTATAGCCCTGCTTCTGTACGGTAACTGGGGGTGGGGTGGGGATTCCGCCATTGATGACTAAGTAAACCTTTCAACAGATTATATCCCTTTCTCCTGAATATTAAGAGCAGGAAAAAAATCCCTCCTGCTATTGCAGCCAAAAATATTAGCGCTGTATTTATTGTCTTTGTAGAATAATGTATTCCTATGGCATGCAAAAGCTCCTGCGCCCTTGGTCTCCTTTAAATAACTTTAAATATTGAACTTGTGTTCAAATAGCTATGCTGAGTGGCTGGGAGTCTCCTTTGGGGGTGGGATGGACAGACAGCGTTAGGCTGTGGCGTTTGTATATGGCAGCACAAGCATCCTGCTCCCCAGAGGCTCTGGTGGTTGCTATAATCAGCAACAGTTCTTCACCTGTGAGGCAGGGAAACAATTCTATACGCAATCCCATGCTTCCGGACAAGGGGACGATGCAGATAAATGAGCACCTTTCAGACCGCGGGGAGCTCTGGCAGTGACACCTCTTCCCCTGCCCTGTGCAGTTGTGTTTGTCCTTGGCAGTAGGATGTACAAGAAGGTCCAGCCCCAGGGCAACATCATGAGCAAAGTGGCCAAATGCATCGGTGTAAGTGCCCTCCTCCCCCTCCCCTCCACTCCCCTCCCCTCCTCCCCCTCCCCTCCTCCCCCTCCCCTCCTCCCCCTCTCCTCCTCTCCACTCCCCCTCTCCTCCCCTTCCCTCCCTTCCCTTCCCCCTCCCCCTCATTAAGTCACTCAGAGCTTTCCTCTGCCTTCCTCCTCCTTTAAATCAAAGTTCAATTCTAAAAAAGAAGAAAAGCTCAACAAAGTTTTAATTTTCCCTTTAAGATGATTTTTTAGTGTACTTGGGTGTCTTTATACAACTTACCAAATAGAGCCAGGTGTTGGTGGTGCACACCTTTAATCCCAGCAGAGGCATGAAGGATCATGAAGAAGGCAGAGGCAGGCATATGTCTGAGTTCAAGGCTAGCCTGGTCTACAGAGCGTGTTCCAGGACAGGCAGGGCTGCACAGAGAAACCCTGTGTGGAGGGGAGGGGGGCACTTTTATGTATTTTGTTTTTACTTGTTAATTGGCTATTAGAAAACTTAATACAAATGTGTATATGTATTTAATTTCTATTGAACATGCTTTTCTAGCCAGGCTGGGGAGTAAAATACTGACAATGGGACCCCAACACAGGCGTCTGGATTAGAAAGAGACCCTTGTTGGATGTTTCGGCCAATGTGCCTAGTATCTATCATCTAGTTAAAATGAGCCTTCTTTTTTCCCATTAAAAAAGAATTCATTGAAATGTAGTTTTCTGGTATAGTTGATTCTCTTTTATAATTTAATTTTCCTTCCTCCCTTCAGTTTGCCATCAAAAACAGATTTAGGCACCGAAGTAAGACATTTCCCAAGAGGGGGCACTGGCTGGACTGGGCAAAAGAGAAGTACGACGTAAGTGCCATCCTGCCACAGCGGCCCGGCTGCTCCAGAAGGCACAGTGCAGAGTGCTAGCTTCATGGGCGACACCCTCAACCGTGCCCGCCAGCACTTGCCGACACGTGGAGTACAACTATGCACCGTTGCTTTAAAAAGACCTTAAAACAATGGTTATCGTTGATCGTGGACCAACAGGAGCCTGTCATGGCTGTTCACTTGGGTTGTCTTCCATTGCTTTGAACAGAGAAGAGCTGGGGTGGTGGTAACCTTGAGATTGTCACGGAGTAAGCTCTGGGGGCCGGTCTCCTGAAGAGCTGTTCTCCCTTGTAGCTTCCCTTGTTCAGAATGTTCGGGTTTCCTAGCTAAACATGTGGTGTGTTCTTTAGACTAAACAACCACTTCCCAGCTTGTCCCTGGATACACGTGTCCCAGCTTTGCAACAGGGCCACAACTGCTGTTGATTCTGGCTGATTTGTCCACCCGCAGGAGCGGCTCATCTCACAAATTAAGATGGTCATGAAGGTGATGACCCTGTATATTCCACTCCCCATGTTCTGGGCCTTGTTTGATCAGCAGGTAATGTGTCTTGTTTCATCAGTAGGTGGTGAGTACTGCCAATCACCAGGCCACATTGCATGTTCAGCTCCTAAAAACATTCTCTTCCAGTTTCTTTTTCGTATTTTGCTGATTTAATTGTTGCATCATATTTAGTTTACTGGTTAAAGCACATCCTAAAAGGTTCCATCCACGTGTCTACTGTGAGTCAATGAAGAAAATAAGGTTTGTTTACCTAGAGTAACCCTGGGGAAATGTCCTCAGAGCATCTGGGACCCCTGCCAATCAGAACCCAGGGCACAGTCTGTTCTACTGACCCAGTATGATGGAAAGGTATTGCCTCTGAGGAGGTTTGTGGAATGTTCTCCTTAAAGGGGCTTGATGCAAATCTCCTACTTTAATATAGAATATTTGAACCAGAATACAGGGTTGTAAATGACTAGACTCAAGTCCTCCTACCTAAAGCAGGTGCCTGACCAGACTAGACTTGTGGCTTTGCTCTTTCATTGTTGAAACAGTCATACACACACACAATGTACTTTGATCATATCCATACACCATTACCTCCTTCCACCTGCCCCCACCCCACATCCCAATCAACTCCATGTTCTCCTTTATTGTTGTGATGATAGCCTGGTTCCAGTTCATGTTTCCCATATGCACAGAGATGGGATATGAGGCCATGTGTAGGACACACATTGGGGTCTACACAATCATGTCAGAAAACCCAGTGCACAATACTCCCTAGTCAAACAAGGAGACACTGTTTCTTCAAGAGCCTGTGAACAGCTATGTGCCACTGTACAGACAGGACTAGTGGAAGGGTGGGGACCCCTGGAGAACATTCAAGCATGCACGCATCTCCTTCTGTAACATGAAGTAGAGAGCACCCTGGTAGGACAAAGGAACCACCTTGAGTGTTGGGTGAGAGGCTAACTGGGATCAGACTTGCACTAGAAATGTAGGCATCACTGGCAGCTGGGTGACTTAGGCTCAGAACTCAGAACCCTTTCTAACGTGTTTGCCCTGACCACCCACCTCTGCTGTGAGGCCCAAATTAGACATTGCATACAAGGTCCTCAGTGACTGGTATGTACTAAGAACTCAAACAGCACAGCTCTGCCGCTTCCCATGTTGTCTTCCCCATGGAGTTGATGGATTTCCTTTGATCCATTGAGTGTTTAGTCGACCATAAAAATCATCACATCTGCTGGACAATGGTGGCACACGCCTTTAATCCCAGCACTCGGGAGGCAGAGGCAGCAGATCTCTGTGAGTTCGAGGCCAGCCTGGTCTACAGAGAGAGATCCAGGACCGGCTCCAAAGCTACACAGAGAAATCGTGTCTCGAAAAAAAAAAATCATATCCTATAAGAAACAGATGAACTGCAATTAGGCTGCCCAGATTTAAGGCCATCACTGTCTTTGTTAGAAGCATTTAAACCCCCTCCCTAGCTTTCAAAAGATGGTTCTTTACTATTGTAATGTTCTAGATACTAATACCAGCATACATAGAACACGGTGGCCCAATGAGCTCACCCTGAGAGGTGGTACCGTGTATTCACGCAGCCTTGTGCTTTTGTGTCTGTAGAGGAACAGTCTTATTAAATAAGAAACACAGAGCAAATGCAGAGTTAAAAGCCCAAAAGGTCAGAGTAGTAGCTAAGAGCTGAGACTAAAAACCTTTCTTACCCTTCACTGCCGCTGTCATCCTTCCCCTCAGAAAGAGACTTACTTCCTGTGTATCTGTCTTTTTATTGACTTTCTGTTCTGCCTTCTTATTGGTTGTAAACCCAACCACATGACCTCCTCGTCACTGCCTTTCTATACAGACCTCCAGGCCTTCTATGGTTGGTATTGAGATTAAAGGCGTGTGTCTCCTTGCTGGCTGTATCCTTGAACACACAGAGATCCGCCTAGCTCTGCCTCCCAAGAGCTGGGATTAAAGGTGTGTGCCACCAACGCCCGGCTCTGCTATGGCTCTGACCCCCAGGCAACTTTATTTATTAACATACAAATAAAATCACATTTCAGTACAAATAAAATATCACCATATGTGTCCCCTGAGGATAGCTCTGTCCCAGGTTCTTCATGCATCCCAGGGCAGAGTTAGGTCTGTTGGTGTACAGCTGGTCCCTGTCTTCCTAGTATTGTGATGGAGCCAAGAGGCCAACTGGATGTTCATGACAACTTCGAATCCCATAACATTTTAGCTGTGATTTAGAAGGTTCAGTGGTGGATTATCACATTAAATAGCCACATGCCCCCATGACACAGTCCATGTGCTCATTTTTCAGGGCTCCAGATGGACGCTGCAAGCAACAACCATGAGTGGGAAGATTGTAAGTTTACCTGCCATGGTCCTTTCTGGTCGCTTCTTCTTTTGTCCCGTGGTCCCCTTTCTCCTTCCCTTTCATGGCATTGTTTTTCCAGTAATATTTTGCCTCCTCTTTTTTAGGGAGCCATTGAAATTCAGCCAGACCAGATGCAGGTAGGGGAAGATCTTTGGGTCACTTTCCAAGCCCCAGTGCTCGTGGAGATAACACTTAACAGCCCCTCTCCACTTCTGCAGACGGTGAATGCCATCCTGATTGTCATCATGGTCCCCATTATGGATGCTGTGGTGTACCCTCTCATTGCAAAATGTGGTCTCAATTTCACGTAGGTAGCTGCTTAATGGGGTTGATTGAGGTGCTGTTGGTTCAGGGTTTTGCTCTGCTTCCAGAAGCATCTGCCCAGATCAGCATTTCTCAACTTATGGGTCACGACCTCTTTGAGGGTCGAACAACCCTTTCACAGGGGTTACCTAAGGCCACCAGAAAACGCAGCTATTCTTATTATGATTCATAACAGTAGCAATATGACAGTTATGAAGTAGCAATGAAAATAACTTTATGGTTGGGGGTTTCACAGCATGAGGAACTGTTTTAAAGGGTGGCGGTGTTAGAAGGTTGAGAACCACTGACCTAGAGGATGGGCCATTTATTTATTTTATTTTTGCAGTACTCGGGATTGAACCGAGGAATTTCACACATGCTAGACAAATGTTCTTCTACTGAGGCAGAAGCCCAGGCTTCTTTTTCCTTTCTATTTTGAGACAAGGCTAGCCTTGAACTCACAGTGTAGCCCAGGTAGGCTCTGAACTTGCAAGTCACCCAAGGAGATGGGATTATAGGCTCTGCTACAAGGCCTGGCTGATGGAGAAGGCTTTAAAGAAACCGATTTAAGAGCTGTTTGGGGCACAGTGATGTGTCACTGGGTAAGAGCGTTTTCTGTGCAAGTGGAAGATCTGCGTTCAGATCCCTAGAACCCATGTCAAAAGGCAGGCACAGCAGTGCCACCCCTACTGTCAGAGCTAGGAGGCAGAGACAGGCAGATCCCCGGAGCTTCAGATTCACTAAAGATCCTGCCTCATGAAAATAAGGTGGGCAGGGTCAGAAGACACCTGACAACCTATAGCTTCCTCATGTGCACACATGGGCTTGTACATATCCATACTCACTTGCATACAACACACACACAGCTTTAAAAAGAGATGTTTGTATGCATTGTTTATGAAAATGCTCTTTAAAATAAATAAAAATGCTATTAATAGAAGCCTGAAAAAAGCTGATAATCAAGGCTCTCATCATGTGTATACATGACAGAGATCTTAGTTGTGAACATAGGATTTCTAAATGTAATAATACAAATAAGGATTCTATTTGCTCTCACTAGCTCTAGCCACAAATAACCACAGAAAGGGACTCAGAGATGGCTCAGTAGTTAAGAATGCTTGCTGCTCAAGCGCATGGACCAGAGCATCCACATGAAGCAGCTCACAATGCCTGTAACTCCAGCTTCAGGGGATCTGACATCTTCTGGCCTTGAGAGCACGCTCACATGCATATGTACATATACTCATATAGGCAAATGCACACGCATAAATAAAATAAAGTCCTGAAACAGTGGCAACCCCAGAAGTGTCTTTGCCGGGAAGTAGCTAGGATGGGAGATACCGCAGCTTGTCCTTTGGGGCTCACTCTTGGTTCGTCTGGGTGAGGTGGGCTGATGTTCACTTCTCTCTTGTCCTCTTCAGCTCCCTGAAGAAGATGACAGTTGGGATGTTCCTGGCTTCCATGGCCTTCGTGGCGGCTGCAATTGTACAAGTGGAAATTGATGTGAGTGTTCTCCTGGGCTCTCTGTGAGTTTCCTTTGGAGCTGGGAGGACTAAAAGAGACTAGGGGGCTCTCCCCATAAACAGTAGGAGTTCCTGGAGTAAAGGACAATGGGAGGCTGGGGGTGGAGGCACTGTGGGTTCTACCAAGGCAGGGTACAGGAGGTCCTGGAACCGATGGGCGGACTTCATTGGTTGGAAAGACGGCATGAGTAGCTTCCGGCTATAATACAGTTTCCATAATGGGAGATGAGTTCATGGAATTGTTCTGAACTCTTTGGTGAGAAGAAGCTTATCATTCACAGACAGGCACTTCAGAAATATATACACTGTCCTCTTCATGGAAAAACACATTTTGGATTCTAATATATCTACTAAGGGCTAATTCCTAAACCAATCCTAATACCTGTTGGGTGCACTTTTCCTAAACCAGCCCAATGCTGCCTCCTGGATATAAGACTTCCGTTCTAGAGGCAAGGAGTATGTGATCTACAAAAGTAGAAGAGAGACTCTCTCTCTCTCTCTCTCTCTCTCTCTCTCTCTCTCACACACACACACACACACACACACACACACACACACACACACAATTCATGGCAGTGAACATACATAAATGAAGTTTCCCATCTTAATCATGTCTAAGCATGCAGTTCCATACACTTCCCTTTACTGTGGAACCCGTACCACACATACTTCCAGAAATTTCCCATCATCCCAAACGGCACCTCTGAGACACCCAGAACTGATTTCCTGATTTGTCTCTCCAAGGCCCCCGGCAGGCACAGTTCTATGGTCTGTCTCTAGGATTCTGCTTCGGGATCACAGGATCATAGTCATGAAGCATTTATCCTTTTGTGATTGGCTTCTTTTATAATGCCCTTAAGGCTCACCCACCTTAGAGGATATAAAAATTCCCCTTTGTTTTTAAGGCCAAATAAGGTTCCATTACCATGCCCAATGTAACCAGTAGGCTTGTCCAGGTGTCTGTCAGGAAAGTGACTCCTGAGCTAGGGTGACAGTGACCATCCATAGGAGTCCTCATTGTTGATTTCCTTTCTTTTTCTCAGAAAACTCTGCCAGTCTTCCCTGGAGGAAATCAAGTCCAAATCAAGGTCTTGAATATCGGAAACAATAACATGACTGTGTATCTTCCTGGAGATACTGTGACACTTGAACAAATGTCTCAAGTAAGTGAGAGGCAGTAGGACCCCCTGCTTCATCTTCTCGGCTGAGTTATGACACAACTCAAAGGAGCTCTCCTTACGGGTCCTTGTAGAAACCCCAAAGCCAGTCTAAGATTGATACATGTCCATGTTCACCTCATATTCCCCTCTAGCCCAATGGGCCTCTGACTTGAATGTGGGTACTCATCACCCTGGAACGCTGGAGAATGCAGACTTGATCTGTAGTCCAGAAATCCCGCATTTCTATAACTTCCCACAGGCTGCTGCCATAGGAAACTACCGCTCCAAAGCAGGGAAGGTCCGTGGTCCCAAACAGGGCCAACAGATCCCTGAGGAGATGTTGAAGAGTCTCTATTGGCAGTTCTTGGTAGTCATAAACTAAGAGTGTGTAACTGGCATTTCATCTATGGAAGCCAGAATTGCTGGCACTCAGCCTCCACAGGGAAGCATCGTCTGTCCTGGTATACACAGTGCCGATGCCGAAAACCCTACTCTAGAGGTCATTGTCCTTGAGTCTGGTCATATGGAGAACCTCGAGGCCCTGACCCCAGTGATGCAGGTTCGTCTGCTCTCATCCCTGACCCGCCACCGCTGGAGCAGTGGTGTTAGAAGTCTGACTCCTGGTCATCAGGGCGCCCATACTGATCTCACCAGAAACGTTGCTTTTCCTCTGGTGGTTTGTTTCGTTTTCGTTTTTGTTTTTGTTTTTTAATGTGTATGGGTGTTTGGCCTGCACATGTGCCTGTTTACATGTGTGTGCCTGGTGCCCTCAGAGGCCAGAAGAGGGTGTCGAATCCCTTGGAAATGGAATTACAGGTGGTTGTGATGCACCGTGTGGATGTTGGGAATCAAACCTAGCTCCTCTGGAAGAACAGCCACTTAACGGTGGAGCCATGTCTCCAGTCCCAATCCCTGGGACTGTTCTTTGCATAGGACCATAAGTGACTTCACAGAGAGTGTTTCCTCAGACTAAAACAAAATTAGAGAGTTTAGTGAACAATATAATCCCTGTGGCAATACAGAAAGAACTGTGTGGCAGTGTCCTTGGGGATGGGAGACCCAGTGTTTAGTCTCTACAGGGTACTGGATGAACATGGAATGCCATGTAACATGGCATTACAGTGTTCAAATGCACAGTGCTGACTCTGCCCTCCCTCCCCGCACCCCACATCTCCAGACAAACAGATTCCTGACTTTTGACGTAGACAAGTTGACAAGCATAAACGTGTCTTCTCCTGGGTCCCCAGTCACTGCCGTAACTCATGACTTTGAGCCAGGCCATCGTCACACCCTTCTAGTATGGGCCCCCAGTCGTTACCTCGTGGTAAGTAGTTGGTACTTACAGCTTTCTCTTGGCTACTTGCAATATTAGAGACATAGCTTTTACATTTTTTTAGATTTTATTTTGTTTGAATGTTTTATCTGTATGCACATTGTACACCATTTGGGTACCTGGTGTCTGAGGAGGTCAGAAAAAGCATCAGATCTCCTGGGACAGGAGTCATAGATAATTGTAAACCACCATGTAGGTGCTGGGAACCAAACCCAGGACCTCTGCAAGAGCAGCAAGTGCCCTTAGCCGCTGAGCCATCTCTCCAGCCTCAAGGCACAGCTTTTTATGGGTGTGACATTGCTGTATCTGTATAGAGTATTATATCAGGCAACCTTCAAGTTCATCTTTCTTCAAGAACACAAGTCATTGGACTTCCAGTCAAGGTTTGGCTGGTGGGTAATAAGGATTACTATTAATAAAGATTTAAAAAGAAAGCTAGGAGCCAAGTGTGGTGCTCCACACCTTTTTCACCAGCTCTCAGGAGGCAGATGCTACCCTGGACTGTTAGCAAGGCCCTTCTGAGATGGGCATAGCATCACACACCTCTAATCCCAGCACTCAGGAAGCAGACACGGCAAGATTTCTTTGAGTTCCAGGCCAGCCAGAGCAACACAGTGGGATCCTGACTCAAAAAAGCAAAAATAATAAAAATTGAAAGGCAAATAACTAAAAACAAAACTGTTTGTGTTGTGATGAGTGTGTGCCTATGCTTATGTGTGCATGCACTCTCTTGTGTACATGTGTAAACCACATGGATACATATGTACATTCTTAGAGACCTTTTTGAGATAAATTGATTACCATATCTTTATTTGTATTAATTTTTAAATGTGCACTTAGAGTAGCCTTACAAAAATATGGTATGTATATTAAATACAAGGAATAAAATACATTTGACATATTTGTAGACAAAATGCAGATGTGTCATTTGGTACATGGAGAGTGAACATGTAGTTGAACTGAATAAAGGAACTTCAGTCAGTCTGTCAGGGGAATTTGAGTAAGAACATATAGAAAACTCAATGTGCAATTAATGTTATTGGCCATTTGCTTAATTAGGAAGCTGTTGAGTGGCTTGTTCTATCAGGAGTGTCCAGCCTGTGGTTCACACTCCCCAGAGTAGCTCCGAGCATGCCCCAGCACAAATGTACTTAGTTAAAGTCTTATGAGATTTTATTTTGCAGTGATTTTCCTAACTCATCTGTGTGGTTCTCACACATGAACTTTGTTTGTTTGTTTGGTTTGGTTTTGGTTTTTCGAGACAGAGTTTCTCTGTGTAGTTTTGGTGCCTGTCCTGGATCTCGCTCTGTAGACCAGGCCGGCCTCGAACTCACAGAGATTTGCCTGGCTCTGCCTCCTGAGTGCTGGGATTAAAGGCGTGTGCCACCGCCACCCGGCATTACACACGAACTTTGTATTGACAACACAGTGTTGCAATGTCCGAAGGTCGGACAATCTGAATTGCTGGAGAGTCATACTCTGGAACCATTGACAATCAAGATCAATAACAGCAGAAGCGTGTGCTAGCCTGGAGGGAGAGCAGGGATGAAGAAGGGACCCTGATCTCCTAGGACAAGGGCCAGTATCATGCTCTCAAAGTCTGAAGTGTTAGTGTGAATTGATTCCAATGAGCTAAATATCAGGAAATTATTTTATTTATGTGAGTATGTGTGGGTGTGTATGTGTATGTATGTGTTATATGTGTGTAATGAGTCTTTCCCTGTCCCACCAGTCAGCTCCCAAATAACGACACAGAGACATATTAGTTATGAAAGCTCAGCCTTTAGCTTAGGCGTGTCTCAACCAGCTCAGAACTTACATTGACTCATTTATACAAATCTATGTTCTGGCACCTAGTGTGGCCTCTCTTCCATCTCACACCTCCTGCTTGTTCTGTGTCTCCTTGTGTCCCCACCTTTCCTCTTCCCTGGATTCTCTCTGCCACCCAAATCCTGCCTAGCTATTGGCTGTTCAGCTTTCTATTAAACCAATCAGAGTGACACATCTTCACAGTGTACAAAAAGATTATTCCACAACATATGTGTTTGTGTATATATGTGTATATGTGTGTATATGTGCATGTGTGTATGCATGTGTATATGTGTATATGTGTGTATGTGTGTGCATATGTGTATATATGTATGTGTGTGCATTTGTGTGTATATGTGTGTATATATGTATGTGTGTGCATTTGTGTGTATGTGTGTGTTATATGTGTGTGTGCACGTGCACATGATAGGTACATAAAAGAGCAGGGCATGCATGCCGCAGTGTGTGTATGGAGGTGAGAGGACAACTGTGAAGTGAGTTCGCTCCTTCCACCTCTACATGGGTCACAGGGGTTGAACTCAGAGAGACAGGCTTGCACACAAGGCCTTCACACTGAGCCATCTCACTGGCTCGGAAATAATTTCATATTTTTTTCTCTCTCAGGTAAAAGATGGACTTAACCAGAAGCCAGAAAAAGGAGAAAATGGAATCAGGTATGGAGATTTCTTTTGAAACTGGTTCTTTCCACTTCTAACAGAGCTTGACACGTTACCTTAATCAAGTCTAGTGGTAACAAGGTATGAAAATGTCACGTTTGCATGAGAATGCTTGGCTGGTTCAGACAACATAATTCATCATCTTAATAAACCAGAGAGAAAGTCCACATTATCTTATCAACTGATGTAGAAAAATAATCTGATAGAATTCAGGATTCATTCATGACACACACACAAAACGTTAGCCTTTACCTGGTCACGAAGTCTCTGGCTCTTAGTGTTCAGGGTGTCAACTCTCCTCTCTGGAAACTGGTTTTCCTCCACGTGCTCTGTGACCTACCAGAGCACGTGCTCTGCAGCCCCTCCAGACAGCGTCTTCAGAGACTCCGCTGTGCCCAGGTGAGCGCTTTCTTCCCTGGACTCCACGCTGTCACTGTGCCCAGGTGAGCGCTTTCTTCCCTGGACTCCATGCTGTCTTTTTCTCACTCACCTTTTTCATTTTGCTGTAGCCTCTGCCCACACACCTTGCTAAGCAAAGGAAGCTATTCAGTGAGCAGCGAGTCATCCTCTCACACATGGTGCATTCCCAGAGTTCTGGAGACTTCTCTGCTGGCTTCTGACTTAAAGGCACTCACTTATAATAGTTTCTCACCAAGCTTCTGGTATCTTCTCTGATTTTGACAACCCCAGATTTCTCCGCAGGGTAATTAAATTGGTGTGATTCATTTTGCCAGCCCAGGTCGTTCAATTTTTCGTTCCCTCCCTCTCTCATTTTCTGGGTGCCTGTCTGTGCTGATGTCAGGACAATGTGCCACAGCCTGGTGTTAAACAGGAACTCATGTTTTCAGCGTTCCTCCAGCGGGAGGCCCATGATCAAGGTGCAGTCAAGACTGGTTTCTTGTGAGGCCTCCCTCCTTGGTTGACTGTTGATAGACACCTTCTTTGTCTCTGCCGGTCTGAATCCAGTCGGCCATGTTGGATTAAGGCCACAAGCAGCTTCCTTTTGTCTCCTTAAATGTCTTTTCTCCAAAGAACGTCTCATTTTGAGGTGTCATGATGAGTTTCAAGGGCACACTTCTCTGTCCATAGATGGCCTTTGGTCTTTGTAATTACCTGTCTTGCCCTGCAGAACACACACACACACACACACACACACACACACACACACACACACACACACACACACAGCTGCTCTGTGCTTTGTATTTGGCTCTGCACTGGAAGCACCTCTAGGGTTTCATTTTGTCCTCAGAACATTTCCATTGCTTTGATTTCCTTAGAAATGTCCCCCAACACTGGAAACCTTAGACAATGTAGATTATGGTATTTAGGCTATTTATTACTTATTTCTGTGTAGACACGTGTGGGTGTGGAGGTCAGAGGACAACTTTCAGGAGCTGACTCCATCTTACACCGTGTGGGTGCCAGAGATCAAACGCAGGTCATCAGGCTTGTCAGCAAGCAACTTCACTGCTGAGGCTGCTCACTAGTGTAACTGAGTGTTTAAAAGCGTGCGTGCGTGCGTGTGTGCGTGTGTGTGTGTGTGTGTGTGCACCCACTTACCGCGACTGCTCACTAGTGTAACTGAGTGTTTAAAAGCGTGTGTGTGTGTGTGTGTGTGTGTGTGCGTGTGTGTGTGTGTGTGCACCCACTTACCGCGACTGCTCACTAGTGTAACTGAGTGTTTAAAAGCGTGTGTGTGTGTGTGTGTGCGTGTGTGTGTGCGCACCCACTTACCGCGACTGCTCACTGGTGTAACTGAGGTGTTTAAGAGCTTGTGTGCGTGTGTGCGCACGCACTTACTGGAAGTCAGCCCTCGTGTGTTGCTCCTCAGGGTGTCCACACTGTTTTTTGAGCAGAGTCTCGCTGGCACTGGGATGCTCTGGCTAGGCTGGCTGACCAGTGAGCCCCCAGCCTCTCCTCTGCCCCTGTATGGAGAGTTGAACTCAGGTCCTCCTGCTTTTGAGGCAGAGACTTAACTAACTGAGCTACCTCTTCAGCCCCTAAAAGTTTAATTTTAAAAATGTGTTTGTGTAATCTATGTGATGAGGTTGTAAATTTAAAAAAGTCTTTGATGAAGAAGAGAGATGCATAGCATTGGCAAGATGCTGACCCCACCCACCCATGCGTGTGGTAGTAGATAAGTCAGAATCACTTTTCTAGTGAGTAGTAATGCCAAATCCTTGACAGAGCAAAAGGATGTCATTGTTTCCGTGGTGGCTTGGAGCCAGTGCTAGAGAGGAAGTTCTAGAGAACCAGAAAAGATTGATAAACAGAACAACTTCAAAACCTCCGTGACATCAGACTTTCTGACTAATGTGTAAATTAAAGAAGGAAATACAAATTTTCAAGCAAATGAAATTTATGTTACACGATCAGTAAGTTGCAAGATTTAAATGGACATCTTTTAAATAAATTGGCAAGACTTCAGTCAAAAATTGGTTGAGGGGCTGAGAAAGGGCTCAGCTGGTGTTCACAAGAGTTCTTCCTGCTCTTGCAAAGGACCTGAGCTCAGTCCAGAACACACAGCAGGTGGCTCACAGCCTCCTGTAGCTCCGGCTCCAGGGATCAGACATCGTCTCTGACCTCTCCTGACATCCACACACATGTGCCATACACACACACAAAAGAACATACACACAGGTAAAAACAAGAAATAAAAATAAATCTTTTAAGAAATAGGTTGAAAATTTAATATTGCTTTCCCCTGTGTTTTAACACTATATATTGCATTTCCATAAACAATGTGTTGATTAGTGTGTTTTAAACATAGAATAACATAAAAGTTATTGTCACAGGCATATATTGTTCTACAATAATGCTATCACTATTATATAATATACATCACTTTAATATTTGACCATATTAATATCTGTATCTTCTATCTGTTCACTTGACCACATGATAGCACGATTCCATTGCATAGATACACCATAATCTATCTACCCATCTCTATTCAAGGGAATTTAGCTTATTCTTAGTTTCTTAAAGCACGACCATAGTCTGTATTCTCACCTATTTCTTTCTCTATGGAAGTGGTCCTTAAATTTTTATCACTTTTAGTAAAAAATATTTTGAACCTGTATCTGCTATATATGAATATGGCATCCACGAGGCTGGAGAGATGGCTCAGCAGCTAAGACTAGCTGCCACTCTTGCAGAAGATCCCGTTTTGGTGACTAGACCCCAAGCTAGCAAGTCACAGCTGCCTATAACTCCAATTCCAAGGTATCTGAATTCCTCCTCTGGCCTCTGAGGGTACCTGCATGCAACACACACACACACACACACACACACACACACACACACACACACACACACACATATTAAATGTTGATATGATATCTTTTAAAAATTATTTGTGGCCAGATAGTAGTGACACATGCCTTTAGTCCCAGCACTCTGGAGGCAAAGGCAGGCAGATCTCTGTGAGTTCAAGGCCAGCCTGGTCTATAGAGTGAGTTCCAAGACAGCCAAGGCTATACAGAGAAACTCTGTCTCAAAACCGAAAAAAAAATATTTGTGTATATATAGACTATCTATCAAATAAATATATGCCATAAAGCTGATGAGACTGGGCCATATGTTTTAGGGATACAATGGTTAGGTTGCTCTTTATAGTACTTATATATCCATCATTATTATTTCTTGTTCTATATATTGAACAATCTGCTATAATCTGTCACCTACCTATTTGATGGACAAAACAAACAACTGATCTCCCTTGGGCCGGCAATGTGCTCATCCTTAGAGCAGTTAAAGAATCTCAGGGTCTTCTATAGCAAAGCGCCTCTAAGGAAACGTCTGTAACCATCTGTTCTCAAAGTGACATTCCGTACGGTCCTAAGAAGGCAGGAAGGCAAGCAGCTCACCTGCTTCCTCCTGAGGTTTAAGCAAGGGGATGTGTCAAGGCTAGAAGCCTTGGGACTTGGGCTGAGGCTTTCAGGTGTCCCTTCCTCGCTGCATCCCGACAGATGCTGGCCAGAGCCGCAGGGCCTCCACACCTGAGTGCAGTCACTTAGGACAGCCTCTTCGTGTTGGGTTAGCTAACTTCTTTCTCTCAGATCTTGCGTCCTCTCTGTGCCCCATGCTCTTGGAGGTAACTGAAATGGCAGACTCTCCTCCCCCGAAGGAAGCCTGGCTGGGGCTGTTGTCCAGCAACTTTTATATTTTTTTTTTTTTTTTTTTTGGTCCTTCACCTGTTGAACTCTGAAACTTTCCATTCAGGCAGCACAAACAAAGTCTGGCTGCCTTCTAGAAAGAAAAGGAATCAGTCCTTGTTTCCATGCCTAGTTAATGATGCCCCTAAATATCAGTAAGCTAAGCAGTTGCTAGCATGCGAACATAACCTAACACTGGATACCAGACCTGTGACCAAGTTCTGGTTACAGACAGATGGTTTTCTGTTCCAGATTTGTTAACACCCTTAACGAGATGCTCACCATCACAATGAGTGGGAAAGTGTACGAAAATATCACCAGTTACAACGCCAGCAACTATCAGTTTTTTCCTTCTGGAGTGTAAGTACCTCTTCTGGGCAACTTGCTACCAAATTCAAGGTTGTCTAGTGTTTTTCTTTTAAAAAAATGGAGATTTTAATACCAAGAACCATAACCTCTGTTGTTCTTTCTTTTAACAGAAAAGACTTCACAATAAACTCCACAGAGATTGCATCAGACTGTCAACGTGCTTTTAAATCTTCCAACCTTGACTTTGGCAGTGCATATACCTATGTGATCAGAAGGGCGGTTAGTAGTTCATTCTACCACAGCAGACAGCCAGGTCAACCTGGGCTGGCATGAACCCTCACAGACACTGAGGAGTCTCATGATTAACTAGAGGAATTGGGATCTGTAAATGGGTTTAGGACTAATTCAACTCACCACTAATTCTTTTTTTTAATTGTGCAAGTGTGTGTGTGTGTGTGTGTGTGTGTGTGTGTGTGTGTGTGTGTGTGTGTACAACCTATAGGAGTCTGTTCTCTCTTTCCACTGTGTGGATCGCAGGGTTCAAACTCAGGTTGTAAATTTGATGGCAAGCCCCTTTCCCCACCAAGCCATCTCACTGGCCCACCACAGATTCTCTAACTTACTGTTGACTTAAGTTGACTGTAGAATAAAACCCAACAGACTTAGTCACATAGTAGTTAAACGTTCCTATTGATCAGTATTTGATGCTTCCTTATGGACTGCTGACTTTAGGATTTAATGTTTAAAGGGGGCAAGGTTTTAACTGACGGGCTCCCAGCATTGCACAGTTACATTTAAAATGGGCACTGACGTCCTAAGTTCCCCGATTTAACCTCAGAAGATCAACTCAATTTATCTTTATGAACATTGTTATTCTAAACGTTCTCTCTGCCTCCCTCTCAACTGCCTGCTTGTCGCTTTGACGGTCTAGAGTGATGGCTGCCTGGAAGTGAAGGAATTCGAAGACATCCCGCCCAACACAGTGAACATGGCCCTGCAAATCCCGCAGTACTTCCTTCTCACCTGTGGCGAAGTGGTCTTCTCTGTCACGGGACTGGAGTTCTCATATTCCCAGGTCTCTTGTTTCCTCCTCCCTTCTGCTACCTGCTGCCCTCAGAAAAACGCGTAGGGAGCTCGGTTTGAGTCTGGGATATCCCTGTGCTTAGAACCTCTTTTGTTTGTTGGCTGTGTAAGACAGGTCTTAGTCTGTAGCCCAGGCTAGCCTGCAATTCACCATCCTCCTGCCTCTGGCTTTCAAGTACTGGAATGGTAGGCATGCACCAGCACGTATAGCTTGTTGATAGATTGTTTTTTGTTTTTTGTTTTTGTTTTTTATTTTTTTTCGAGACAAGGTTTCTCTGTGTAGCTTTGCGCCTTTCCTGGAACTCGCTTTGTAGACCAGGCTGGCCTCAAACTCACAGAGATCCACCTGGCTCTGCCTCTCGAGTGCTGGGATTAAAGACGTGCGCCACCACCGCCCGGCGATAGATTGTTTTTTTTGATTCTAGAAAGCATTATGGTGCTGTATCAGTTACTTTCTGCGAAAGCGTTATGCTGTATCAGTTACTCTTTCCTGCTGTGATGAGACACCAGGACTAAAAGCAACTTCCAGAAAGAAGGGTGTATGTGGGCTGTGGTTATGATGAGTGTCCATCATGGCAGCACATGGTAGCCAGAACAGGAAGCTGAGCGCTTGCATCTTGAATCACAGGCACAAAGCAGAGAGAGTGAGCAGAGAGTGGAACAAGGTTTTAAACTCTCAAAGCCCACCTCCAGCAAGGCCACACCTCTCCCAAACACCAACAACCACTCGGGACAAAGTGTACAAATGCCTGATCTTACGTGAGATGTTTCTCATCCAAAGAACCACAGGTGTCTTGCACAGAGCAAGGGCTAATATCCATGGGAATACTATACTGTTAATTTTGAGGGGCCACAGACATATACTTTACTCCCAGATCACACTAACACTAAAGTCCTAAAGGGGGAACGGCATATCAAGGACTCTGCCAGGGTCCGAGTAGCAGACTCCGCATTTTGTAATATCCAAAAGGCACCAGTTATGCACAGAAGTACTTGTCTATAGGTCTGCATTCTGGTTACATTTAAGGTCTGGTTGATGTCTCTCTGCCACTCCCAGTGACCACATCAAGTCAGATCTACTGCTAAGAACAAATATAGCCCCTTTACTCTTAAGGCTAGAGATATAGCTCAGTTGATAGATCACTTGTCTCACGTGCTTGAAGCCATGGGTTCAATTCACAGCACTGTCTGAAACCAGGTGTGGTGGTGCACGCCTGTAATCCCTGTCCTGGGGAGGGAGAGGCAGGAAGATCAGAAGTTCAAGATCATCCTTGGCTACATAGTAAGTCTGAGGTCAGCAGAGATGTGTAACACGCTAACTCAGAAAAATACTTTTTTTTTTTTTTGCTTTTAAGTACATTTGGCTAATGACTTAGAGTTTCCATTGCTGTGAAGAGACACCATGACCATGGCAACTCTTATAAAGGAAAACGTTTAATTGAGGTGGTGACTTATAGTTTCCGAGATTTAGTCCATTATCATTATGATGGGGAGCATGACAGCATGCAGGCAGATATGGTGCTGGAGAAGGAGCTGAGAATTCTACATCTTGATCCAAATGCAACAGGAAGTGAACTAAATTAGGCATCACTTGAGCATAGGAGACCTCAAAGCCCACCCCCACGATGACACACTTCCTCCAACAAGGCCACACCTACTCCAACAAAGCCACACCTCCTAATTGTGACCCTCCCGATGAGCTTATGGGGGCCAAAACTACCACAGCTAATTAGACAAATTTTATTGGTACCCCAATTAGAGCTTAATGTCTAAGCATTTGTCAAAACCACAGTTAAAGGTATTGAACCCTGGCATCTTGTCCTTCAGTATTTGTGATAGTCAGCATGGGCGGGTCACCCCTTTCTGTGATGACCGCTCTGTTTGACAAACACCAGGGCCTGATATCGGTGGTGAGAGCTTGAGGAAGGACATGGCAGGAAAGCTGCTGAAGGGAAAGTTTGCAGCCCAGACAGTAGCTCCCCTTTGGGGGAGAACGTGCCACAGATGGCTCTGCCTGGAAGCTTGTGAGCAGAGCCCATTCGCCTGTAGCTCTGCCCCTGTTACTAAGACAATACTGTGTGTCTAAGTCTGCATCAGGAGGGTTTGTGTGTCTCCTCACACAAATGGTGCCCTCCTTATGTTGACATGAACCTGACCTTTTTTTAATTTACTCATCTACATGTTCATATGTAGAGCAGGGTCATGCTCTGTAGCCAAGGGATCAAACTCATGATCTTCGTGCCTCAGCCTCCCAAGTGCTGGGATCACAGGTGTGAGGTGCCACACTGAGCAAACCTGACCTCTCCTCTGCACTTCAGGGATGCTTGGTGAAGGGGTGGGGGCGGGTTCTCCTGGCCTGCAACAGGAAGCAGGTTGTGATCCACTCTGCTTTGCTTCCTCAGGCCCCTTCTAACATGAAGTCGGTGCTTCAAGCAGGCTGGCTTTTAACCGTGGCGGTTGGCAACATCATCGTGCTCATTGTGGCGGGGGCCGGCCACTTCGAAAAACAGGTACGAGCGGAAAGAAGGTTGGACATGCCTAATAGTGTTTTCTGTAGCTTTTGAGACAGGGTCTTATGTAGCCCAGATTGGCTGCAAACTTGCTGTGTAGCTGAGGATGACTTTGAACTTCTAACCTTCCTGGTTCTCACCAGGACCCTCCCCAGCTGTCTATAAAGATGTGTCCATTTGAGTCACAGCCTTGTTGCACACAAGGTCTACCTGATGGTTTCCTGTCACCGTAGCAGTTACGTTGTTTCCTGTGTCAGGAATGGCCATTGGGCTGCATGCCCTTGAGCCCAGGTACTGTCAAGAAACATACATGTGTAACTATGTATATGTGTGTATGTATGTGCACCATGTACCTGCAGGTGCCCCTGGAGGCCAGAAGAGCAGTAGGTCCCCTAGGCTGGAGTTTTGGGGTTTGTGGGTATGCTGGGAACCCAACCAGAGACCTCTCGCAGATGCTCAGAGCTATGGAGCCATCTCCCCACCCGTGTTCAGCACAGTCTTTGTACTACAAGGCTACTGCTTGTTCTTTGCCATTTCCCATCCTTCTGGCACCAGCCATAAATTTTAAGAATTTCAGAAAATTCCTGGCCAGTGGTGGTGGACACCTTTAATCCCAACACTGGGGAGGCAAAGGCAGGCGGATCTCTGCAAGTTTGAGGCCAGCCTGGTCTACAGAGTGAGTTCCAGAACAGTCAGGGCTATACAGAGAAACCCTACCACAAAAAAAAGAAAGAAAGAAAGAAAGAAAGGAAGGAAGGAAGAAAGAAAGAAAGAAAGAAAGAAAGAAAGAAAGAAAGAAAGAAAGAAAGAAAGAAAGAAAAAGGAAAAGAAAAAGAAGAAAAAATTTTCAGAAAATTTCTGTCATCTTCCCAAAGATCTTGTGTTTCTGCACCCCATGTTAATAAAAAATGTCACCTGCTCCTTGAACATCTGGGAAAATCTAGGGTCTCTGTGGGGTGCCCCCCATTTCCTGGCAGTTTCACTTCAAGGTGTCTTCTGCCTAGAAGCAGCAAGGAGATGTGTGTGCAGTGTTATGTTAATGTGACCTGTGGCTGGTTTGTTTGTTTTCTTGCTTCAACTCTGATCCTCCAAAGTGGGCCGAGTACGTTCTGTTTGCCTCACTGCTTCTGGTCGTCTGCGTGATATTCGCCATCATGGCTCGATTCTACACCTATGTCAACCCAGCAGAGATCGAAGCACAGTTTGATGAGGATGAGAAGAAGAAGGGCACAGGGAAGGACAACCTGTATCCCGCACTGGAACCTGTCTCACAGACAAATATGTGAGGGTCAGGAGGCAAGGGGAGCCCCAGATTCCCACATGCGCCCTGATCTCTGCCCCAAGGGTGAGGACACCACTGTGTAGCCCTTGATGGAGAAGACTTCAGACTGTGAACCAAAATAACAACAAAGCTGCTTTCTAAGCTGCCAGCTATGAATCTGAAACTCTAGTGGGAGCCTTTTAATTGCTTTTTTTTTGTGGGGGGGAGTTTCTTGGGGGAGTTTCAAGACAGGGTTTCTCTGTGTAGCCTTGGCTGTCCTGGAACTCACTTTGTAGATCAAGCTGGCCTCGAACTCACAGAGATCTACCCGCCTCTGCCTCTGGAATGCTGGGATTAAGGCATGCCCCACCACACCCAGCTTTATTTAAAGCACACACTTCATTTTTTTTTTTAAACACTGGGCCATATCTTGCTTTCCTGCCACAGAACTGAACTTAGTTCAGACTAACTTAATTTTGAAAAAGTAACTGTACTGTTTTTTTTCTAACACTTTTATGAAAACAAGGTTGAATTTACAGAGGGCTTTTTTAATATTATATAGTGAGTATCAGCTAGTTTAAGCTGATAACTTTACCTTGAGTTTTTTGTTTGTTCATATGTTTTTCTAGTTTTCTTTGCCCTACCTTTTTAAATTATATGTAACTCAAAAGACCATCCAGTGAAGGCCAGTCGTGAGCTGTGAAGTGACTGGTGTGAGATAAACTCTTCTTCTTCAGAACATGTGTTCATGTGTCTTTGGGTAGGGTGGGAAACCTTTCCAATGCTGTCTGGTTATACTACTACATACGTGCTCCTTCAGATGTCTTCAGAAGTTTTATTAAAGCTTTTATTAAAGCATCAACAAAAGCAATATTCACATAGGGGAAACCCCAGAAACATGAAACACCAAAATTTATTTCTTCCTGGTCCTGTTTTTCCCCAGGGAAGTAAAAAAAATCTATCTTTTACTAATAACGTTTTTCTATACTCACATATGTATACATCTCATGGTGTTGTTCTTGAATTGATGAATGTTCTTTACTTGAAGTAGAGATTCCTTCTAAAATATCATAAACACTTACTACCTAATTCATCCTACAGATATTTGGTGTGTGTTTTGTTTTGTTTTTTCTGAGACAGGGTTTCTCTGTGTAGCCCTGGCTGTCCTGGAACTCGCTCTGTAGGCCAAACTGGCCTCAAACTCACAGATATCCTCCTGCCTCTGCCTTCTGAGTGCTGGAATTAAAGGTGTGCTCCACCATTGCCCATCTTACTTGTTTTAAACTTCCACTCTTTTCTTTATGGGTATGTCTTTTTTTATTGGTGTGTGTGTGTGTGTGTGTGTGTGTGTGTGTGTGTGTGTGTGTGTGTGTGTGTGCATTTTGTATAATTCGTTCCACCAATTAGTTTTGAGGTATAAGCCTTAGGGCGTGGCTTCTAATCCTCGTATGTGACTGCTTCAAAGGAGGGGGGCGGGTTGTGCCCCTTCTTGAGGTGGATTGAGATGATTCACTCCCAGGCAGAGCAGACGGCTGTTCACTTGGTTCTGAGTTCAGGAGTGTATCTCCCCCTTTATTACTTTAGTAAATCCTTGTTACCCCCTTAAACAGACTCACGTGGATTTCTCATAATAGCCGTGTGTCTGTCTGTCATGTGTGTGTGTATGTCTGTCCTGTGTACATATGTCTTTGTATCTGCCGTGTGTGTGCGTGTGTGTGTGTCTGTCTGTCTGTCTATCTGTCACGTATGTGTGTCCTGTGTACATATGTCTTTGTATCTGCTGTGTGTGTGTGTGTGTGTGTGCGCGCGCGCGTGTCTGCTATGTGTGTATGAGTAACCTTAGGGGCCAAGTGAGGGCGTCAGATCCACTGGAGCTGGCGTCACAGGCAGTTATAACCCAACGAATAACATGGATGCTAGGAACTGAGCTGGGTCCTCTGAATGAGTAGACTGTGCTCTAACCGGCTGAGCTATCTCTTCAGCCCAGTTGTTTGTTTTGAGAGAGGGCCTTGTGGATCCAAAGTGGCCTTGAGCTTGCTGTGGAGCTGAAGATCTTGAGCATCTGATCCTCCTGCCTCTACTGCCCAAATTCTGGGATTCAGGTATGTGCCACAATGCCCAAATTTAGTTGATTCTGGGGACAGAACCCAGGGCTTCCTGTGTGGTAGACAAGTGCTCCATCAACTGACAAAGAATGGAGCTATAATTTAATAATCCCTGATGCCAGGCCCAGGATGATCCTAGTTGGTATTCCTGTACAGAGAGGCCACAGTTCTTAGATGTCATACAAGACACACAGGAAAGCAACTGCTGAACTTTGCCAAGATAAGGCAGGATGGTCCTTCAAAATTCCTGCTTCACAGAAGAGTCTGCCAGATATGCTAGGCCTGTAGGATGAAGATTAATGCCCCAATGTTACAGAGGAAATTTGGGTGACTGTCTAGGCAGCTAGATGTCTCTGTTGTTAGGTAATATTACACCCTTCTGGGGTTTCTGATGGAGTTAAAGACTAAATAGTTAGAGCTGTAGTTTTCCTTAGTTATGATAAAGTACATTAGGTATAAAACTTTAGAATCACTAAGATAAGATAGATTAAGGAGTATTTTCTCTAATGACTGAATATTGTAAATGTAATTCTTACTTGATAACTGTTTTTGTTGTACATAGTTTTACTATGTTGAAATTAAAACCTTTCATTTTTATTTAGACAAAAGGGGGAAATGTTGTGGAATATTAGTTGAAGATGTGTTACATTTGTTTATGCTGTGGAACATTTGTTTAATGATGCAAAGATGTGTTACATTCTTTTATATTGCATTTGTGTAACTCTGTGAAGCTGTGCTACTTTGCCTGTCTAAAACACCTGATTGGTCTAATAGAGCTGAATGGCCAATGGCTAGGCAAGAGAAAGGGTAGGTGGGGCTGGCAGGCAGAGAGGAAAAATAGAGGAGAAATCTGGGAGAAATGATCGAGGAGTGAGGAAAGGAGAGGAGGACTCCAGGGGCCAGCTACCCAGCTACACAGCAAGCCACAGAGTAAGAAGTAAGTAAAGGTATGTAGAATAGAGAAAGATATAATAAGCCCAGAGGGAATGATTTAAGAAAAGCTGGCTAGAAATAAGCCAAGCTAAGGCTGGGCATTCATAAAAAAGAATAAGACTGTTATTTATTTGGGAGCTGGGTGGTGGTCCCCCAAAGAGTAAAGAGAAAACCCAGCCATGCACTCATGCACTGCAGCCCCCCTCCCTCACTTCACACCACTCCCTGGGTTCCCAGACTTCAGCTTCCCAGCTTTCTTACTCAGCTCTGGGAGCATCTTGTTCACCAATTTCCACCACGTGCTGATCTCCTGCTAAGTAATTGCATTTGACTACTCAGGCCTAGTCCTTTATTGGCTTCTTCCTTGGACTCCAATTGTGCCTAACAACTCTAGTGTAAAAGCCTAGGCTTGAGAGGCCAATAACTCTGCCTCTCTGCCTTCACCTGGCTTTTCTGCATCCCTCCTGCCTTCCTCTAAATTCCATGCTGATCAGCTATCCCCAAAACAGTGCACTATCCAACTGTTTAAGTACTGTTCTACAAGGGGAGGGTAACCCTAGAACAGACTTCACACCTTGTCCCTAACACCCAGAATATTGTCAGTAATTTTCACAGCATGGGATCTTTTTCAGTTGCTTCGGTCTTGTGCTGCTGGCTCCACAAGATCTATATGTGTGTTTTGTTTGTTTTCATTTTGCAAATGAAATTTGTCTCTAGGTACTAAGTATTTATCTTTAAGTCAGTTTTAAACTTTAAAAAACTTGACAAAATGTACAAGTTTGACTATTGTTGGCTATTTTAACCATTATGCATTCTGCAAAAAAAAAATTATGTTCTCACAGTTTGTGACAACCAACTAAGGCTGAACATACACTGAACACTGGGCATGTGCGGACAGTGGGCTCAGCGGTCTTCTGGATTACCTACAAGTGTGCAATCCACCAACCATCCTGTAGTGTGGTTACTATTATTCTGCTCACAGAAGACAAAGGAAAAGCAAGTAACCCACTCAAGGCCATCCCCACAGCCTGGCTCTAGAGTGCCAGCCCCCCCATATCTGCCACCTCTTACCACCATGTTTAATCTGCTATAAGGAGTGCATCAATCTTAATCCTCACAGTAACCATGGGAAAGGTTTCACGGCCTTCATGTTGGAGATAAACCTGAGGACTAGGGCTGGAGAGAGGCTAGCCATTTAGATCATTTACTGCTCTTGCAGAGGACCCAGGTTTGATTCCCAGCACCCACATGGTAGCTCACAATCAACCATAACTCCAGTTCCAGGTGATCTGATGCCATCTTCTGGCCTCTGAAGGCTGGTGCACATATGCACATGCAGGTAAAATGCTCACACGGGTGAAATTAAATAAATCTTAAAAAGGAAAACATTGTTTTAAACTGAGGAAGAGCAAACTTTAATAACTTGTCTCAGCCATATGCCTAGTGAGTGAGCCAATATTTGAACCCACGTATAACTGAGTCTTTTCCCAGGAGGCTCCGGCATCTGCCACTTACCACAACCTGCCTGACCTCGAGACTATAGCACATAACAGATTGTATGTCATATAACACAGTAAAATTGATAGTTAAGGCAGTATGGGTGACAGGGCCCTAGAGACCAGTATTCACCAGCACCCTGGGCTGGACAGCCATAGCTGCCTAGATGGCCATGTGTGGGTATGAGAGACCGGAACCCTGGCTCAAAGGACAAGCCAAGGAAACAGTGTTACCTTTACCATCTCAGAGGGAGGCTGGGGCTCTTGTGAAGCTGTCCTGCAGACACTTGTACTTCCTCCCCACACGCCTGATGGGAGACACCGCCATTGCTAAGAGAGGTCATGAAGGTAAGCTCTGACCTCACCAGAAGGCGGTGGTGGAGCGGGGCACAGGGACATGGAGATGGGACACTCAACCAGTGAGACCACAGGAGGAGAATGGTCAGCGGCAGTCCTGAAGAACCAGTGTGGCCAGATCCCGTGCCTGACATCACAGACAGCAGGATAGCAGGACATTGCATTTATTTAATTTTTAAATTGTGGTAAAATACACAGGAAGTAACACTCATCATTTTTAAGGTTACAGAACCATGGCATAAGTCACATCAACACTATTGCGCAACCATCCCCTCCATGAGTCTTTGAACACTTTTCCCTGCAGAACTGAAACCCTGCGTTCACTGAACACTAGCCCCCACTTCCCCTCTTCCAGGCCACCAGAGTGAAGACACAAAAAGGCCACTGTTCTCTACTGGCTTCTACTCCCGCTCACCTGTACCCTGTGATGTGGACCTCTGCAGCTTTCTAGAGAGTCCTGGGTGTCAGGGCTTCTGTCCCAACCCTGGTCAAAGGCAGCTAATGAGAGGCCCGGGCCTCTAGGGCTCCCAGGTGTTTTCACTGAGGCCACTGCCACCGCCATTTGCTGCAAGCAGGGACCAAGCGCTTTCATCCGGCCTTCAAGCATCCTTCAGGTACTGGTCATCTCAGAGCCACGTGAGGCTCCATTTGACTTAATTTCTGGCTCGTCTAATGAGACTTCTTGGCTCCATAGCTTAAAGGCTCAAACGGAACAGGAACTGAGTGTGGCGGGCAGCCATCCTGGCACCCTGGAACCGAGAGCCCCATACTTCCTAGGGCTGAGTGTCCTGAGAGGAAGAAGGGGGACCCTAAAAGCTGTCTGCTTAGTGGAAACCAAAAACAGGCCTGTATGCTGGGGAGGCAGCCCATCCTTAGCACTGAGCCGATCATTCTTCCTCCCTGTTCCAAGGCTTAGGGTCTCCCGGTCTCCATGTTCACGGAAAGGCCAGGCGGCTCAGAACCTGGGCGGACGGACTACGCAATGACCAGCAGAGGGAGCCAGTAGTC